CATGACCTGAGCCAAAGGCAGACGCTTACTGGCTAAGCCACCCAGGCGCCCCTTTATATACTCCTTCCAGTAACTGATAGATTACATAGAGATACCTAAGCCAAGATACTGAATGATAGCTAATAAACTCAAGATACTAGATATATCCAAAATATAGGACAAACTGAATATTCCCGGAGAGAGTAAAAATAGGAAGACTGTCAAGGCTAATTTTTATTTTTTATTTTTATATTTTTTAAAGATTGATTTATTTATTTGAGAGAGTGAGAATGAGAGAGAGAGAGAGAGAGAGAGAGAGAGAAAGTACATGAGAGGGGGGAGGGTTAGAGGGAGAAGCAGGCTCCCTGCCGAGCAGACAGCCCGATGTGGGACTAGATCCTGGGACGCCCAACCAACTGAGCCACCCAGGCGCCCTAAGGCTAATTTTTAAATTTCACCTGTATACTCCTGTATTGTTCAGATTTTTATTTATTTATTTTTTTTAAAGATTTTTATTTATTTGACAGAGACAGACACAGCGAGAGAGGGAACACAAGCAGGGAGAGTGGGAGAGGGAGAAGAAGGCTTCCCGCAGAGCAGGGAGCCCGATGCAGGGCTCGGTCCCAGGACCCCGGGATCATGACCCGAGCCAAAGGCAGATGCTTAACGACTGAGCCACCCAGGTGCCCCTTGTTTGGATTTTTAAGTAAAGATTTTATTTATATATTTGAGAGAGAGAGCACACGCAAGAGAGCAAGAGAGAGCACAAGCGGGGCGGGGGTTGGTGCAGAGGGAGAGGGACAAGCAGACCCCAGCTGAGCAGCGAACCTGATGCAGGGCTTGATTCCAGGACCCCAGGATCATGACTCAAGCTGAAGGCAGATACTTAACCTACAACCACCCAGGTGCCCCTATTTGTAGAATTTGTATATTATTTGTATACTTCAAAGAACAATAAGAGATGAAAGGCAAAAAAGCAATAGTGGTTCAACTGGCTGGCTCACATTTTTCCACCACCATACTTAGTCAAAGCCTTGATGAAATCAAAATATATAGGGAGGGGTGCCTGGCTGGCGCAGTCAGAAGAGCAGGCAGCTCTTGATCTCCAGGTCGTGAGTTCGAGCCCCATGTTGGGTGTAGAGATTACTTAAATAAATAAACTTTAATTTTTTAATTTTTTAAGATTTTATTTATTTATTAGAGAGAGAGAGAGCAGAGGAGGGGCAAAGGGAGGGGTGGGAGAGAGAGAGAGAGAGAATCTCCAACAGACTCTACGCTGAGTGGGGAGCCAGATCCCACAACCCTGAGATGAGGACCAGAGCTGAAATCAAGAATCTGACGCTCAACTGACTGAGCCACTCAGGCGCCCCAAATAAATAAACTTAAAAAAAATACATAGGGATTATTACAATTCCCAAATTATAAAACTCATTTACAAAGTAGGAAATAAAAGCAATGTGGGAAAATACATATGGTAAGTACTTAAGGACTATATTTAGTTCCTACAAGCACTTGGGTATAAGGTACATTGCATTGCTGAACTGCAAAAGCAACTCACCATGGGTCAGAACACAGGTAGGTAGATTTCAATTCCCATCTAGCAAGTGTCTTTAGTAGCAAGTTTGAGAGAATGTGTCAGTCCACTTTGGAAGAGTAGGAAAAGAAGGGTCGTAGGGCACTTGGGTGGCTCAGATGGTTAAGCATCTGCCTTCGACTCAGGTCATGATCCCAGGGTCCTGGCTCAGCGGGGAGCCTGCTTCCCCCTCTCCCTCTGTCTCTCCCCCTCCTCATGCTCTCTCTCTCTCTCTGTATCTCTCTGTCTAAAATAATTTTAAAAAAGAAAGAAAGAAAAGAAGGGTTATAGAGGCAAATCCAGGCATACTCACCCCAGCACTGTACAGAAAAGGTAGAACTTTGCTCAACATTATTTGAGTATTTCTATTGATGTGAATGAAACTAACTCTCTTAGCTTGGTGCCATTAGGCAATTAATTCATTAATTTACTCAATTTTCCTTCTTCTGAGACCAAGCATCAAACATCTTTCTGACTCCCAGGCAGGTCTAGCTGCATGATTTTAGAATACTGATGCTATTGAAAGCAATAAGTCAGTCCTTGCAACTCTGATTTCTCATAGTAAATCAATGATGTGGATTCTGATCACATATTGTCTTCCCGAATATTAGACTATAGAGAGAGAATATGTGAATTATTTCCCGTTTGTGTGAGCTACTTTTTTAAAATTGGCATCCTGGCACTTACTTTAGGCTGTTGTGTTTTAGTTGGCGTGGTCAAGAGCACATTTCTCATCCTGGAAAGTAAAAGTCCAGATATAATTGTTTTCCCCAATGACATAGCAAACATGCCACTTCCAGATGGCCCTTACTTTACTTGAACCAAGTACTTTATAATTTACTTTACTTGAACCAACTCTGGCCTTTGTGATCATCAGTTTCTTTTCTAAGGGGTCACATACATTCTATGTAATAATCCAGTTGAAAATTTTCCTAGCAAACAACTAGAAACTGATCTGAGATCCTCGAATTTGTCTTCCCCCCCCTTTTTAATATTTACCTATCTGCAGTTATCTGACACTTCTCTTATAATTATGATTTCTCCATGAATACTCAAGGTAGTTCCGCAAACAGCCCCTTCCTACTGTATCATATGTACAGCTCAAACAGAAAAGAAAAAAGTGCCAAAGTCAAATTTTCTTAAGTAATTTTCAATTTACCCATTCAGTCATCTATCCTCTTAAGAAACATGTGCAGGGCACCGCCTGGGTGGCTCAGTTGGTTAAGTGACTGCCTTTGGCTCAGGTCATGATCCTGGAGTCCCGGGATCGAGTCCCACATCGGGCTCCCTGCTCAGCGGGGAGTCTGCTTCTCCCTCTGACCCTCCCCCCTCTCATGCTCTCTCTCTCTCTCTCAAATAAATAAATAATCTTAAAAAAAAGAAAAGAAACGTGCAGATTTCTGGAAAGAGCGTGCTATATAGCATTGGAAAGAAATAAAACACAGTGTTCTTGCCTAGGATTGGAGAAGTGGAGGGTGGAAAGAGTGTGTGGTAGATAATATATATCTACAACAGGAAACAACTAGCAAACTGAAACAAGTTCATTACAATATCACATTTCCAACTGGGACGCCAAGTGCTTAGAGAACCTCTACTCACTTGGTCAATAAAATTTTACTAAGCATAGAGTAATTAACATAAACTAAGGGAGAGATTGGTTAGTGTAAATTGAAGTTATTATAGAAATTTTTGTTTGAACAGCAATCTTCAATGTGGGGTCCTCATACCCCTAGGGGAACATGAATATTTTCCAAGAGGAGCCAAGTTCTAGGGTGACCAATTGTCCCAGTTTATCCAGAACTGTCTTGGTTTTAGCACTAAAAGTCTCACATCCTAGGAAGTCCCTCAGTCCCTAAGGCTGGATCACAACTTACCTATTTCCTCCTCTCTAAAACGGATGTGCCCGAGATTTTGCCTGGTTTTCCTTTCCCACCACCCACCTTTTCATCAAGTGCCAGTCTCTCACTTTATATAAGCCGTGACTCCTATTCATTCCTGAATTTATTATGACTTGCCTGGACTCGATAAACCTCCAGGGTACCTGAAAAAAAAAGACAATTAGAAATATATTTTTTAAGAGTTTTATTTATTTGAAAGAGAGAGAGCTCAAGCGGGGGTGGGGGTGGGGGGGAGAGGCAGAGGGAGAAGCAGGCTCCCCGTGGAGCAGGGAGCCCTACACAGGGCTCGATCCCAGGACCCTGGGATCATGACCTGAGCCAAAGGCGGACAGTTAACGGACTGAGCCACCCAGGCACCAGGACATTTAGAAATATTGATATGGGCACAGCCTCCTTTAATATAGGCATCATAGCTCCTTGGAAGGGCATCTCATCTTTCAGTCACATATTGTGATGGTTAATTTTATGTGTTAATTTGACTGGGCCATGGGGTGCCCATATATTTAGTTAAACATTATTTCGAGTGTGTCTGTGAGGGTGTTTCTGGATGAGATTAATGTTTGAATTGGTAAACTGAGTGAAGCAACTTGCCTCCCTATTGTGGGTGAGCCTCATCCAATCATTGAAGGTCTGAATAGAACAACAAAGGCAGAGTAAGGGGGAATTCACTCTCGCTGCCTGGTTATCTTCAAGCTGGGCCATCAGTTTTCTCTTGCCTTTGGACTCAGATTTGGACTGGAACTGACACCATCAGCTCTCCTGGTTCTCAGGCCTTTGGACTTGGGCCGGAACTATGCCATTAGCTCTCCTGGTATCTAGCTTGCTGACTGCAGACCTTCGGACTTCTCAGCCTCCATAGATACATGAGCGAATTTCTTATAATAAATCTCTTATCTGTCTATCTGTCTATCGCTATACATAAATATACACAACTGTATGTCAATAAGAATAGATGACTTAAATGAAACAGATACTTTTTTGGAAAGACACCAATAGAATATATCTGTAACTATCATTTATCTGTCTAGATATAGATACCAGTCAAAGGAAGAACATGCTTAGGTATAAGTGATAGTTGCGTAACCGGTGAGTAAACTAGAAAACAGTGAATTGCACACTTTAAATGGGTGGAATTTATGGTGTGTGAGTTATACTCACTAAAGCTGCTGAGAAAATAGTTATTAAAACACAGAAGTATATCCCAAGGGCGGAAATGGTATAGAGCATGAGCCACTGCTCAGAAAGCAAAAGAAAACAGGGCTTTGAAGAGAAAGCCCAGCTGAGAGAGGCCGTAGGGTTGGAGAGAACCCCAGATGTAGGAGGCAGTGGGAACTGGGAAATATTATGGGCAGAGAGGAGGGGGGAGGTAGGTCCTGACGTGGAGACCGAGTGCCCCCAAAGAATTTTGTCTGCTTTAGTTTTGTCAAGGGCCAGCCTTTGGATGATCTCTGAAGGAAGGTCCTAGAGCCTTGAGGAGGAGAATGTATTATGTCAGCACCTGACCTTTGTGACATAGGCACGAGATGCCAGGCAGAACTGCCCCCCAAGGAATGGGGCTCATAGCTCCCTAGGGGGGCGGCAACGCCGCCCCTTAGACAAAGTTCAGTCTCCCAGAAGTTTTCACCAGCTGGCCCCACGGCTGCTGGTGGTGCTGCTCCCACTGCTGGGCGTGCTGAGGGCCCGGCCGAGCCAGAGGACATCAGCATCAGGGGTGACAAGGAGTCAGGGAAACCGGATGGGCAGGAAACCAGGATGCTTGCAGAATCCCTGACTCAGGTTTAGGGGAGCAAAAATCTGTAACAGAAGACCTCCTCCTGGCTGGAGGACCACCGAGGGCAAGGTTCGGACAGAAATCTGGGTCAGAGTGAGTTTAGGGTGACAGATGCTGGGGACAGAGGGGGTGTAGCTACCATTTTGTGACTGTCCCTCTCTCTCCCAGGTTCCTCACTGCTGAAGTGCCTTGTGAAACACAGCTCACAGCTCAGAGGAACCCTCATTGGTAAGAGCTCACAGCACCAGAACACCACAATTTCTCATCCCACCTCAGCGGCCATCCTCAAGCCCCCTTCTCCACCTCCGTTCTAACCCCCCCCCCCCCCCACCATTCTTCTCCTCATCTCTCACCTCCCCTGGAGCATTTTGCCAGCTCTTCTGACCCCAAAGGTGCAAGGATTTAGGGTCTTGGTAAATCAGTCTTCAGAGCCAGAAGTGGACCAATTCTCCCAATATCTTAGATTCTGTTTCTTTCTCTACAGGTCCCATGGGCTGTGTCTTCCTCCCTAGTGCACCCAGATGACTGATGCTGTCCTTCAGCTCCCAAGAGGCAGCTCTGATTCTCCATCCTTATACATCCCTCATCAATGGCTGACTGCAAAGTGAGAGGCCAAGTTTAGACCCAAGCTCCCACCCAAACACTCAGAGAGCCTAGTGCTACAGGGCTGGGGGTCTCCTTGTCCTGCCACCAACAGCTACACCAACCCTGGGCTGGAGCCACACTTGCGCACAGAAGGCCCTGATTTCTCAGGCAGGTCTGGCCTCTGAGATACTGGTCCTGATTCTGCCAGGTCTCTCGTCTCTGGTCTTGAGGCCGCAGCCCCTTCTGATTCAAGGCGATGTTGCCTCAAAACAAGGACCAGGTGCTGCTACAGAACGCAGCGCCCCCTGGGCACCCCTCTCTGGGCCCCTCTCAACTTGTGCACTCCCCACCCAGCAACCTACAGCCTCTGCCTCCCCCGCGACCACCCCCTCTCTTCCACTCCCCTTGCTCCCCTCCACCAGGGTCGCACTCTCCAGGCTCCCATTTCTACTCTTCTGACTCAAATTCTGACTTTATCCTACACCCTTACTCTTCCTCTCTCCCAAGTTCCCCCAGTTTCTTTCATCAGAATTACCTCTCTCTTTCCTGCCCCCCGTCTTCCTCGCCCTCCCACCAGCTACACTCCTCCCCTACTCACACGCATTCCTCCTCTCCCTCTCAGCTACAGAACACCTCTCTCCCCCACTCTCATTGCCAGTCTCCTTCCCCCACAGGAGACCGCCCTAGCTCCACCGTCACTTCCCCGACCCTCAGCCTACCTTCTGGTGGGGTCCACTCAAACAGACAGACATCGCCTTGGCATCAGTACGGGGACACCAGCTCCCCTGGGGCGGTGGGGGAATGCGTGGCAAGCGAGAGGGACCCTGCAGAGTTCAGGGACCCAGGAGCCCTGGCCCATGCCCTGGTGGCCCATCTGGGGCACCGGCGCATTGCACACGACCTGCGGCTCCTGCTTTTGCAGCGCCTGTGGCTAGGGAGAACTGGCCAGGCCCCAGTTGTAGAATATCCCATTTGCCTGGTGTGCCTCAAGCCGCGCAGCCCCTCTTGCCCCATCCCCAGGTACAGGACTGGACCCCGGCTGCTTGCCTTCCCCCAGCTACTGCCCTGTGCACAGGGCCAGGAATCCGGACCACTCCGCATAGGCATTGGTTTTGGCCTCCGCCTGCCTCGGGGCCAGGCCAGGGCCTTGCATCTCTTGCCAGAAAGAAGGCCAGAGGAAGCAGGGCCTCAGGGCAAGGCTGCTCGGGCCCATGGATATCAAACCCGAGCATCCCAGTCTCCAGCAGCTCAAGCAGCAGGGGCTCAGGCGCGGGCCCATCCAGCCCGGGGCACATCCTCCGAGGCCATGAGTCTCAGATCTACAGGCCTTCAGTCACCAAACTCTATGCGCTTTTCAGGGCCTCTACCTCAGGCACCCAAACAAGCCACTGTCTCCCTGAAACCCAGGCCCTTCTCTGTGTCCATGGGGCCTGCCTCTCCAGAGCCCATTCTCCAAAAGTCACCACCCTAGTTCCAGAGCCGAGGAGGCTCTCTGGAGCACCTCCTCCGAACCCCGCTGCCCCCACCAGGCCCCAGATCTTAGGGAGTCCCCGAGACACCCTGAAGGGCTGGCTGGCAGGAGGTCAGGTGTGTTCTCCAGCCTTGAACCCTGGGAGCCCCTTATGGAGTCTGCTCTCTCCTGGCTGAAGAGGATGAAGGGCACCTTAGACCCCATTCAGCCTGTAGTGTATCAATAAAGCCCGACCCTGCAAAACTTGTGTCTGATGTGGAAATGTTGGGGTTTGGAGTGAACAGTCAAGAAAGAAGCCTTGAGACGCCTTTGGTGCAAAAAAGTGGTTTTATTAAAGCACGTGGATAGGACCCGTGGGCAGAAGGAGCTGCACTGGGGTTGTGAGGAATGGCTGATTATATACTTTCAAGTTGGGAGGGGGTTAGGGATAGCCTAAGTCTCTAAGGAATTTTGGAAGCAAGGTTTCCAGGACCTTGAGGGGGCTAGCTATTGTTAGGAAAAGGTCATTTATTACTGTCTAATAAAATGTTAGTCATGAGACCCTTCAGATGTTTATCAGTGGGCCATATGCTTGGAGGATGATCGCTACCATATATCTTGGGGTTAGAGATAAAGGAAGTTTTCAAAGGAATTTTTATTTGTTAAAGGACACGTCCAGGATCCTGCACAGTTGGGATAATGTTAAGCTAAGGTTGCCTTTTGCCTCTAGCAAAGTATTAACATTGAGGCAGTGGAGTTTCTAGGGGAAGGTCACCCCCCACTCCCCTGTCTCAAGGACTTGTCAATGGGCTGTTAAGTTACAAAGAAATCTAATTTTTTCTTTTGCCTTCGTTTCCCACATTGATGGAGGGTAGTCGGAAGGCAGGCAGGCAGGGGTAAGTGCTCCCCCTCCCCGTCCGTCCTAAGAGGAAACCACCCTTAAAAGGAAAAAGCCCCCATCCTGTTATTCTAGGCTTTACTCAGTGTCCCAGCTTTAAGTCTTTCAACTGGGAGGATTTACAACTTCAGAAAGGAAGGGAATGGCCTTGGGTGTCCTAACCCAGGCCCCGGGGGAGGGAGGGGCAGGTCAACAGCCAGTGGGATATTTAAGCTAAGAGCTTGATCTAGTGGCCTGTGGCCGACCAGCGTGCCTTAAGGCAGTGGCAGCCCCGCCCTCTTGATCCCTGAGGCTACTATGAAACACCACCCTGGAAGAAGCCCTCCACCCTTTCCCACCTGAACAATTACCTGATAGGTAGATGAGCGTGTGGACAAAAAACCTGATTGGGTGACAGTCCCATGGAGGGTTAATCAGATTAAAACAGCCCCACCAAATCACCCATAAAAACCCCTAGATTTAACCACCACATTGGCAACCCTCTCGGGTCCCCTCCCTCTGTCGGAGCTCTGTGCTGTCGCTCAATAAACTTTGCTTTGCTACCCACCACTCTTCGTCTGGTCTACCTTTTCATTCTTCGAAGTGGCATGACACAGTGGGTAGCTGAACCTACTGGGGACCACAACTAAACAAGGGGAGGCGGAGAGTCAAACAGGGTGACCAGGAGAGTAGGTGCCATGTATCTGAGGAGGGCATGGAGTCCATAAGGCCTGAGCACCTGAGATGTGCAGACAGTTCTGCGGGGCCCTTTACACATTTAATTCAATGTGGTGGGACAGACAACAGCATTCCCAAAGATGAAGCCACTGGGCTCCTTCCTGAGTGCACCTTAGGTTAACAAGAATGCTTACTTAGGCAGCCAGGGAAGCAGCAAGAGGTGTCTCCTTGAAGGGACGGACATTCCTAGGGTTCACTTGCAGAGAAACATGAAGAGTCTCACGTTGAAGATCGGAAACCCAAGGGACCCCCTCAGGAAGATGGAAATGCCAGGCAAAAAAGAGACCTGCCCTGCCTGGGAGCCAAGTTGCCTCCCTCTGAGGGTGTCAGCAGGGAGCAGCCCCCTCCCAAACGCTTGAATGCTGTCGTGTGCAGAGCCACAAGAATGGCCAACTCTCAAATCTGCCAGCCACAGGGGATAGGTGCTTGGCTAAGGTAAATTGCGGTTTCCTTAAACCAGGCAGTGGTGGATTGAGGATTTGAAGCCAGTTTTATTTTAAAGCCCACTCTGCCTCCATTAAAAGGCAAAAGACACAGTTCATGTTCCCAAATGCTGAATTTCCAAGGTGTGTGACCTGCAACAAATCACTCCGTCTCTGAGATAAAAGGTAAGGACTGAGCTTCTGTATCACTCCTGAAATGGGGACAGCCGTAACCAAGGATGTTTTTTTAAGTCATCTCTACATCCAACGTGGAGCTCAAAGCTCAAATTTATAATCCTATGATCAAGTCACATGCTCTACCAAATGAGCAAGCCAAGAGCCGCCACAGATTTATTAAAGGTTTGCTAACATCCCTTAACTTTTAGGGATCACCAAGCCGAGCCCCTGGAAGAGGAGCAAGCCTCGCGACCCTGCACAAACATGGCGGAGGCTGACGTCACAAGGGGGACGGAATCCTGAGGGGGTTGTTGGGGCACCGGCCCGCTAGTGCTGACGCGTATTGGCGGTCCTGCGCCTGCGCAAGGGGAGCAGCGGGCTAGGTGCGCGTGCGCACTGCGCGACACGCAGACCCGGTTAAAGACGGGCGGTGGAGATCCGGGTCACTGAGTGTCGTTTTGGCAAATCGCTGGGTTAGAGTTTTGGCAGCTCGGAGGTTGTGACAGAGGAGTCGGGAATCTTCCTGGCGGCCACAGGACCAAGTTAAATAGCGACCGGGACAGGGGTCAAAAGCCGGCGCGGCATGTCCCGGGTGCCGCGGTACGTACAGTGAAGCGCGCCGCGAGCAGAATGGGCCGGCGACGGGCGCCAGAGCTGTACCGGGCCCCGTTCCCGTTGTATGCGCTTCAGGTCGACCCCAGCACGGGGCTGCTCATCGCTGCAGGCGGAGGAGGCGCTGCCAAGACGGGCATAAAGAATGGCGTGGTGAGAGCTCAGGGCCACTGGGGCCGGGTCACGCCAGGGGTGATGGTGGTAGGGGATCTTGGGGATGGTCGCACCTCAAGCTTCAGACCTTACCTCTCCCCGGTGGGAAGTCTAGGCTTTTCGGGCGCCCCAGCGCGAATTTCAGCTAAGAACTTACTCACCAGCAACTCCTAAGGTAGAGTAAAAATACACAGCGCCGCTTAGGCAGGAACTTAGGCTTCAACTCGACCTCAAGAGCAGCTCCAGGGGTCTTAATCCTGGACTTTTCTGGGGGCGCCGCAAAGACTTGTCCCACTGCTCTCCAGCAGCGGCAGGAATGCTGCATTTGGCCTTTAGGCTAGGTTTCTTCACTCCTCTGAGGGTCACCCTGTTATTTTGTGAACTGGAAGTATTAATCCTAACCCTCCTTCCTGTACAGATTTGTGCGGTTTGAAAGAAAGAAACCAAGAAAGGGAAAGAAGCAAGCAGGCTGGAAAAAGCCTTTTAAAGTAGAAAGTGCAGTAATCAAAGGGGTATGGCTTTAGACTATAGGATCTAAGTTTGCCCTTGAGGTGCACTCTGGGCACCCCTGAACCTTGCTCATCCTGGTTCTCTCTTCCACAGCACTTTCTACAGCTAGAGCAGATTAATGGGCGCCTGAGTGCCTCTTTGCTACACTCCCATGACACAGAGACACGGGCTACCATGAACTTGGCACTGGCTGGTAACATCCTTGCCGCAGGGCAGGATGCCCACTGTCAGCTCCTGCGCTTCCAGACCCATCAGCAGAAGGGCAAAACCAAGGCAGAGAAGGCAGGTGAGAAGCTCCCTCTTTCGCTTTGGGGAAAGGGTTAAATGAGTAAGATCACTTATTTTGGTTTCTAAAAGAAGTGGGGCTGGAAGTGTGGGTTGTGGTAGCAGGGAAGAAGCCAGATGTTCACTACTAGGGAGGAGACCAGTGCTACTTACTATAGAAGCTGGAACCTGGCAGGCTGTTTGTATTGCAGGTTGCAAGGAGCAGGGGCCTCGACAGAGGAAGGGGGCAGCCCCAGTAGAGAAGAAGTCTGGAGCTGAAACCCACCAGGGGGGGATAGAACTCAGTGTAGAGAATTTGCAAGCGGTGCAGACAGACTTCAGCCCTGATCCGTTTCAGAAAGTTGTATGCTTCAACCATGATAACACCCTGCTTGCCACTGGAGGGACGGATGGCTACGTTCGTATCTGGAAGGTATGATTTTGGGGATTAGGGGATCAGTGTCGATAGCAACAAGGCCAGAATTGTGAGAAATCGAACCTCGGTTCTGGGAGACTTGTGAGTGAAGCCTGCACTGAGTGGCAGAGACGGGTGGGGATCATGGCGCCTTGCCAGTTACCTGGGGTAACCATGCTGGTGGTTTGGCTGCAGGTACCCAGCCTAGAGAAAGTTCTGGAGTTCAGAGCCCACGAAGGAGAGATTGAGGACCTGGCTTTGGGGCCTAATGGCAAGGTGAGGAAGTGAGAGGGTGGAGAAAGTAGGTGATGATGATGCTTGTCCAGTAGGTGGATCCCCTAACTGTCCATCCTTGGAATCTTGATTCCTGACTAGTTGGTAACTGTGGGCTGGGACCTTAAGGCCTCCGTGTGGCAGAAGGATCAGCTGGTGACACAGCTGCACTGGCAAGAGAACGGACCCACCTTTTCTAACACGCCTTACCGCTACCAGGCCTGCAGGTGTGAGACCCCAGAGGGTAGCTAAAAGAGGCCCAGCCTAGATTTGGTGGGGAGGGGGGAAGCTGGGGAGGGTTGCAACCTTGGTGGGTATTACCCCAGGCCTGACCAGGGTACAGGAGGGCACAAGCCTCTGAGAAGGGCTAGGCAGGCCCCGGGAGCTGAACAGCCTCTCCGCCTGCCCCCCCCCCCCCCCAGGTTTGGGCAGGTTCCAGACCAACCTACCAGGCTGCGACTCTTCACAGTGCAGATTCCCCACAAGCGTCTGCGCCAGCCCCCACCCTGCTACCTCACAGCCTGGGATGGCTCCACCTTCCTGCCCCTTCGGACCAAGTCCTGTGGCCATGAAGTCATCTCCTGCCTTAGTGTCAGGTGTGAGACAGTGGTGGCTTGACTGGTTGCGGGGTGCCTGGGGGAACTTGGGAAGGTGTCCAGTCTGAGGCTCTGAAGACCACTGTTAGTGAATTTTGCTGCACAGGCCTCCAGAACAGTGTACACTTTGTTTGTTGCAGTGAGTCGGGTACCTTCCTAGGCCTGGGCACAGTCACCGGCTCTGTCGCCATCTACATAGCTTTCTCTCTCCAGGTAAGGCGTAGAGGTGGGCACAGCCCTGGGGGCTCTTGAGGGGGAGAATCTAGACCTGCTTCAATCTAAGTGTGCGGGAAGGAGTCTGGCCCAGCCCATAGAGGGAAGGCCATCTGGGGACAAGGGAGCATGTTTTCCAGAAGGAATGTTTCCAACTAGGCCTTGCCTCACTAGTTCTTCTGTCTCCAGCGCCTCTACTATGTGAAGGAGGCTCATGGCATTGTCGTGACGGATGTGGCCTTTCTACCTGAGAAGGGTCGTGGTCCAGAGCTCCTCGGGTTCCATGAAACTGCCCTGTTCTCTGTGGCTGTGGACAGTCGTTGCCAGCTGCACCTGCTGCCCTCGCGGAGTGAGTCATTGGGGTGGAGGGTACCTACCTCTAGCTATAGCAGAAACTTGCCCCCTGGAGAATGGGCTGCTTGTCTGTAGCCATCTGCCCCCCCTCTTAAACGGTTCTGTTCTTAGGGCTGTGAATCCCTTTGCCTGCTGACTTCTTTCCTTACTCTCGTGCAGGGAGTGTTCCTGTCTGGTTGTTGCTCCTGCTCTGTGTCGGGCTTATTGTTATGACCATCGTGCTGCTCCAGGGTGTCTTCCCAGGTTTTCTTTAGCCTTCATGCTCCTGGGGAATCGAGTGTGGACACTGCCATCTTATATACCAGAGTGGAGGCCTGCACCCCGTTGCTCACCCCACCTGGGTCCACAGTGGGGTTGCTTCTGATGAGACTGATGGGCACTGCCTGCCCCGCCCAGTGAAAGCTTGGCTATGGCCCTGTGTGACTCTGAGTCCTGGGAACCCTTCATCATCTGTGGATCCACCCAGGACAGTGGTACCTGCAGCCCAGGCCACTCCACCTGCATCTTTCCCTCTGCCTAACAGAGGCTCCAGAGTTGAGCGTGTCCTCTCTCCAGAAATATGTGAGGATGCCCAAGAACCTGAAGGTACTGCTGTCCATGAGTTGCTCTTCACATGAGCCCCTGGTGTTTGCTGGGGCAGGCCCTGGCCTGGGACTTGCAGTTAGGGAAGGAAGGGGCAAAAGGAAGACTCAAGCTGTTGTCTCTGGGTCCAGCTGGTAGCTCCAAGCCAGCTCGGCTACAGACACAGTAAGTTCCTGGATGGTCTACCCTAACCTTGAGAAAAGGGAAAATGAACCTCAGCCCGTTCTTCGGGAAAAGTTGATATTTAATAAATAAGCGAAGACTGAATTAAGACCCTGGTGGTACTCCTGTCAGCTCTTGCCTCTCTTGGAAGGGGAAGAGACCGCTGAGGTTGAGCAGCTCCGCCGAGGGCTGGAAGACGGCTTTGGTGTACTGATGTAAGGGGCGGGTCATGTAGCAGTGCTGCCAGGGGAACAGCCCTTCCAGGAAGCCAATGTGGCCACCCCGGGCTGTGATGAGCAGTGCCACGTGGGCAGAGCATTGGGCAGCCTGTAGGGGAAGGGCTTGGGGAGGGTTGGAGAGGAGGTCAGAACCCAGGCCTTTCCTGAGAGCCCAGGTGCTCTCCACTTGCACCTCATGGCCCATTTTCCCTGGGGCCTCTAAAGCATCCAGATTCAGGCTGCTCATCATGGATTGGGGAAAAGGGGTCGTCAGCTGCATTGAGGCAGAGCACAGGGGTCTGGATGGCATCTACCTTGGTTCTTGGGCTTGCTGTTTGGTAGTAGGTAACACAGTCTTGATATCCAAAGGCCACAGTTGCGTAGCGCTCATCAAACTGGTGGATTGTGCGGGCCTGCCCGGGGTCGAGGGTGGGATAGGCTAAGATGAGGCTAGGGAGTAGAAGATAACTGAACAACTTTGGGCAGGGGGTCGTGGTTGAAAGACTATACCTGTAGCATGAAGTCTACGTTCCCAACCTTTTCCATCACCTTTCTGTTTCTGCAAAAGAGTTCATAGAGGTTTGCCTCTCCTGGACCTGACCCTGTCTGTCTCATGAGTGAGCAAACCCAGATAGAGAACTGACCTGAGCACTGGGAGAACCTGGTGTGTCCGCCATCCCTCCCTGTCTTCTGCCTCCTCCCACTTGCCAAGACCCTGCCGGTTCACAATGTGGCAGAGCTCAGCAGCGAGGCGCTGACTGAAGAGCAGTGAGTGGAGTGGGGTCCCCAGGAAGCGGGTGGTCTCAGAGGAATCCCAGCACGCAGATAGAGTCAGTGCCACCACCAGCCTCGAAGCCTGCCCTGTTCGTGCTGGGTGGTTCAGCACTAGTACCCTGATGGGCCAGGGGCCACGAAAGAAGGGTTTGCATTAGTGAGCGGGCACGGAGGAGAGGGCAAGAAGGCATGGAGGAGGGAACAAAGGAAGACTGGGCCTTTGGGTCAAGCCCAGGCAACTCTTACCCTCCAAGAGAGATGCCCACGGCCAGCAGTGGAGCTTGGGAGTAGCGGTGCTTTGTGTGGTTCACGACTGTCTCCAGATCTTCAGTATTGTTGGCAGAAAAGGCCCTGTGGGTCTGAGGCAAACCAGATCATTGGGGAGGGAGGGAGGCCCTGGCCTGAAGGCGGAAAGGTGGAAGGGGCGTGGAAGGAGGATAGGTAAGGTAGAGCCCCAGGGTCAAGGATCTCTTAAGGGAGTGGGGGGAAGGGCTACAATGAGGAAGGAGGGTCCTCACGAGCAGTTCTTCCCCACGGCAGCCCCGGTTATTAAATACAACAGCTCTGTGGCACACATAGGTACATCTCAGCCAGACCCTCCCTAGAAGCCCCACTCCTCTCTGGTAGCCTTCAGAAACACCCCAGTCAGAAGGTGCCCTTCATATAGTGCCTTCTCCCCAGAGGTATCAGGGTCTTCAGTGACCTCCCTATTACAAGTTCTCAGACACCACCCACTTCTCTGGACTTGGCCCATCCTTACCTATAACCATCCCTCAGAGCTTGGTTGGCCAGTTGGAAGATATAGGAGTCCTGGCTACTGCCTGTGATACCAGGAAGCAGTAATACAATGGGCTGGGTAGTAGGGTCAGGGTACTGACTGCTGCTGTGCCGGCCGGCCCAGTCTAGCAGAAACGCTTCCATCTGGGGTGTGGAGGACTTCACTGTGGTTCAGGAGAAAAGGGTACACAAAGATACTATTAGGAATTCCATGTACTTCAAAAGGTTTACCTCTCTTGATCAACAAACAACTCCCAAACCTTCCCATTGGCATCATTTGAGGGCATACACTTTGCAAGACATTAAGATCCTTACAAGGTGTGGGGCACCTGGTTGGCTCAGTCAGTTAAGCATCTGCCTTCGGCTCAGGTGATGATCCCAGGGTCCTGGGATGGAGTTGGGTTCCTTGCTCAGCAGGGAGCCTGCTCCTCCCTCTGCCCCCGGCCCTGCTCATGCTCTCTCTCTCTCATATGCTCTCTTTCAAATAAAATCTTAAAAAAAAAAAGACCATAACAAGGTGTAATGGGACATAAATGATTAAATACTACCTCATGGTTGAGCAATTAAATAGCCCTTCCAGGGCGCCTGGGTGGCTCAGTTGGTTAAGCGACTGCCTTCGGCTCAGGTCATGATCCTGGAGTCCCGGCTTCAAGTGCCACATCGGGCTCCCTGCTCAGCAGGGAGTCTGCTGCTCCCTCTGACTCTCCTCCCTCTCATGCTCTCTGTCTCTCATTCTCTTTCTCTCAAATAAATAAAATCTTTAAAAAAAATTAAAAAAAAAATAGCCCTTCCATATAGCCACTCATTGTTACCCCCAACACACCGGGGTAGATGGGGCAAAGATTACCTTCAGTTTAAAGAAGGAAGACAGGATTCCCCGGTAGTTGCAGCCTCATGTTTACTCCTCTGTCCCTTCTTACCTCCAGTAAGGGACTGGAGGCTGAGACTGCAGTAAGACTCGGAAGATGGTTTGTAGCTGTCCCTCAAAACACCATAGCGTAGGGTAGAAAGTCTCCAGAGTGACTGGACAGTGTTGCTCCAGGAAGGCCAGAAACCAGGACCCAGTCACCAGTTGAGGCCTCTGCAACTACAACACAGTCTGCCTCACCCCCTGGTGTTTGCAAGGCCAGTGAGGCACCCGACACCAGCGTGACCCCTCTCCAGAGGCCAGCCTCAGGCGGTGAGAAATCTAGCACACCTCGGCCCAGAACGGCCAAGTCACTTCTGTGAACGTAGTCCAGCCGGAGCCCTCAAGAACTCCAGTCCTGGAGTGCCACCTCCCCGGCCTGACTGAACTGACTCAGTGCCAGGGCTGGGAGCTGCTGCAGCTGACCGAGTGCTGACTCTCCCGCTCAGCCTATCTGTGCCCTAGCCCCAGTTTGGAGAGAGTAGGTAATATACATTGCCCAACTGACTCCTTGTGGAAAGGGTTGGCATCCCCGTCAGAGGCTGAAGAAGTACAGCACCATTCAGTCTGTGACTTTTGCTCTGCAGTTGAATTACCCACACTGGCATCTTCCTAAGACTAGCTCTGGCCAGGCTGGCTCCTGGCTTTAGCACCCCATTGCCACATACTCGCATTCCCTACAGCGTGTGCTCACAGCTGAAGGGCTTCGACCACAGCACCTCATTTTCTTAGTCATGGGGCTTGCTGTTAGAGCATACTCCAAAGGAGGAATAGTCCCGATGGGAACAGATTTTTCTCTTCTTTTATGCCAGCCAGAAGGAAGGTATAACAGAGAGTGGCAGGGACAGACAGGTCAGTGGGGGAGTTGGCCCTGACTTTCAACGCCTCTGCTGGTTCTTCTGGTTGCACATCAAGTGAGTGAGAGGGCCTAGCCACATGGCTTATGAAAGAGGGGTGTGCTGTAGAAAGCCAAAAGGCCTCAGGCTCAAGAAATAGAAATTGCATTTCTGGTACGAGCCCTAAGGAACCTGATGATCAGATTTGTAGGTCTTCTGCAGGCTCAGTACTCACAAAAGGCTAGGCAAATTATGAACTAGAGAGGCCAAGTTGTTCGTGCCACTGTCTCGAGATGTGACTTGTACCCTGCTCCTTAAGCCCTGGAATAATGATGCTTGTGATTCATTGTGTGCTATGTGCAGGTACTAGGCTAAGCCCAACCTTAGGGGCTAGGATATTTGTAAGTGAAGAAACTATGGCTCAGATGAAGTTTCCCCAAAGTCACACAGCAAGCAAGAGGCAAAGTGTAATTCGCAATTGTGCTACTACCAATACTAGTAGGTAAAACTTGTTGAGTGCACATGTTTCAGGCATTGTGCTAAGCACTTTACATGATTATATCCTGTGATTTTCACAACAGTTCTTTGGCATAGATCCTGTGATTCCCCTATGGGAACAGGTTTGAATGTTGAATAAATTATCTTGCCAAAGACAGCTAGAGGTGGAGCTGGGATTCAAACCCAGGTCTGACTCTAGAGCTCATGCTCTTAGTCACTGTACTCTATTACCTCCTCATTGCCAGGATTTTGAGTTACTAATTTTTGGAATCTTTGATCAAATAGCTCAGTGTAGAACAGATTAGGTCACAGGTTAATTTCATTTTAGCTCTAGTGAAGAGTTTCTTGACTCATTTCTTGAGAATTAATTAGTAATATGCCATTGGTCTCTGTGGATGAATCGATACTAGTTCATTAACATGCTGGACAATCCAAACTCCTCAGGACTTCCAGAATGCACTTCCTGCATTTTAAGCAGTATTTGGAAGTCAAGGAAGGGTTTGGAATATAAAGAGGCAGAGGTCTCTGACTTCGTGGCTGGTTGCAAGCAAAGGAAAATGGTGAGTTAAGTAGAGCTCTGGTCTGAAATGACTGACTTTTGAAATTAGGCTTGGAAGGTAAGATTTATAGGGTACTGTGGGTTTGGATCTTTTATTAAGGCAGACAATACATGCGAATGTAAAAAGCTCTGAAAATAGAGAAAAGTCTAGGCAACATTTAAATTCCCTATAGATCTTTTTTTAAGGGCTTGAATCAATTGGTTTTATATTAGACTCCATTACCTAGAGCAGTTTAATGAAGATTTAAAAGACTTAGATTTTTCTGGGTATGTAAATTAATGTATTTTATCTAAATTTCAGTGAAAAATCTCTTCAGACTTTCCCACTGCACCATATATACATGGAGAGCCTAGAAGTTAAGGCAGAATGAACGACAGGGTTATCCATTAGTCCTGAGCTAGGCAGGGAACCTCCCCCAGCCTGTGAGAGAAGCAAGGGCCTACTAAGCTGATGGGGTGGGGGGAGTTAGCCAGAGCCACACAGGCCTCCAGTTCCTTTATTCGGTGAAGCTAGTGAGAAACTCAGCTAGACTGCCTTTTTAGAAGAGGAAAGCATCGGCCTGACACCTCGGGATGCCTTCTACCCCGCCCTTCCCCAAATGTCTGCCCACATCCTAGGGAGCAGCACCCCTCCGGTGCCTGAAAGGCCCAACTGGTACGGGGAGCCTACGGGATGCAGAGAATCTAGGCAGGCAAAGAACCGACTCTCCCTTAGGTGATCAGAGCAAAGCAGAACCCTGCTGCAGCACGCGGCAGGGCTGGTGGTGGGGTGGGGGCATCAAATTTCACCTGTTGCGGGAGGCCCAATCGTGCCACCTCCCACAAAGGGCTCGAGCCCCTGGCTGGAAGCTGCTCCTTAGGCCCGAGGATCCTAAACCCGCCGGCCAGAGCTCTGCACCCGCATCCACCAGGGGCACATATCTCCAGTAGTAAGCCCAAGTAGGGGGTGACGCCAAGACCTAAAAGCAGGGAGACGGGCTCTGTCCAGGTGCCATTCTGAGGGCTCTGGGAGGAGCTCGGCATCTTGGGTGTTTGGGTTCCGACCCCCAAGTTCTTGATCGGCTCCAGCGCCCGGTCCCGCCCGTTACCGGCCATCGGCCGGCCTGTGCAGGGACCGCGGCCGCGGCGGGGCGGGGCGGGGGTTCGGGCCCCGCCCACCTCCACAGGGCCCCGCGGCGGGCGTGGTGAGGGGCGGTGCCGGGACCTCGCCGGCCGCCGAGCTGAGCCGAGTCACCTGCTAATGGCCTCCCCGCCCCATCGCCCGGGTCGCGCGCCCGGGCGCCTCCTGCTCCCGCCTCGCGGTCACCGGTGGTGCCGCCCCTTGCGAGGACTAGCGGCCTCCCGCACCGCCGCCATCTTGGTGAGAGGTGCCTCCAGCGCCTTCTTCAAACCGTGCCCCGGCCGCTTGAGTTAGGCAGCCTGGTCACGGTCCCCAGTCATTGGCACACAGGACACAGCTACTCCTGTGGTGGCATCCTGTGACCTCCTCAATCAGGACACGGCCACTCACCTTGTGAAAACGCTCTGCAGTCCCACCGTGTTCAGCCATTCACAGTGGTCTTCCCAGACTGGACACAGACATTCACACTGTGACACCCCAGACTGTCACACAGGTTTCAGCTATTGAGTGCATGGCATTCCACATAGAGTCACACACACACACAGGTTACAGTCATTCACACAGTGTCACTCTGCACTGTCTCATCTAATCCCTGTCAAGTAAGCACGATGGAATGTACTCATCACCCACTTTGTATCAGGCACTAGGGATGCCCCGGGGATGCTGTTCCCTCTCATCACTGGAATGTGGAAACAAATACATAATCTAACAGAGCAGTGGTTCGCGACCTTGACTGAAGATTGGAATCATCTGGGAGTTTTAAAAAAACTACCAGCACCCAGGCCTCACCCCCTGCTATAGTTGGTCTGGAGAGGAGCCTAGGTGTCAATATAACTTAGATGTTCTCTGGAAGATTCAAATGTGTAGTCAGGGTTGAACCCCTGCCATAGGGCATGGGGCTGGGTAAGGGAAGTACAGCTGCAGTAGGAGCACTGAGGAGGGTGCCCAAACTCCACGGGTCAGATAAAGTGTACTCAGATGTTGAATGATGGTACACTTAAGGTGAAACCAAAAAACGAGTAGGAGTTTCCCAGGCAAAGGAGAGGTGGGGAGAGAACAGTTTCAGGAGCAGAAACAGCATAAGCAAAAGCCTAGATGTGAGAGACTTCTTAAAGGAACCAAAAGAAATCTGGTGTGTCTGGGGCATACGAGATGGTCAAGAATCAAGCTGTGAGCAGCTACACAAAGGATGTTAGAGTTTGGGGCAACTTCGGCTCAGGTTATGATCCCAGGATCCTGGGATCAAGTCCCGTGTCAGGCTCGGCGGGAAGCCTGCTTCTCCCTCTCCCACTCCCCCTGCTTGTGTTCCCTCTCTTGCTATCTCTCTCTCTCTCTGTCAAATAAATAAATAAAATCTTTAAAAAGGGGGGGATGTTAGAGTTTAAACAAAGGGTAGAGGAAAGCCATCAAAGAGTTTTACGAAGGGGTGGGTGACATGACCGGAATTGTGTTTTAGAAGAACCATTCACGCAACTTGGAGAATGGATTGGAGGAGGCTGAGAAAGGAAACAGGCCAGTTAGGCTGTTAAGAGAACTTTGGAATGGCAGATGGCTGCCTGGCCTGGAGGAAGCTCCAAAGAGGAGTGAAGATCTTTAGGATAGGAGGCGGAACTGATAGGACCTGGTGGTAGGTTGGAGGTTGGGAGAGAAGGAGAAATCATGAAGGAGTCCCAAGTTTCTGACTGTATGACTCAGGGATGCATGGCAGTGCCAGTCCCTGGGCTGGTGGAACTGGGGAAGAGGAGGTTTGAGGAGGAGGAAGATTCGTTCTGAGACACATAGAGGTTAGTGTGCTCGCTGATAATTGTGTTTTCTTAGATTCTGTATTTGTCTACTTGGCATCCATGAATCACAGGGCCAAACTAACAGCCAAAGTTGATATCTCACCTGCAATCCAGAGCCCATACTCTGAGCTGCTTCTTTAATCTAATTCTCACTCAACAAACCAATATTTCCCCTCTCCTAAAATCAACCCAGGGTCAGGTGTCAGATAACTAGGGACGGTTCCTATGTCCCAAAGCCTGCCTGAATGACTCCAACTAGCCAATCCTAAGCTGTCTACCTTGCCTTGCCTTTCCCATTTAGCAAAGGCTGTGGCCTGTGCCTCCCCACCCCCACCCCCCATTCCACCCACCCCCCCACCCCCCCACCCCCGGCTCCTTTCTGCCCTCTACACTGGTGCCTCCCCCTGCTGTCCTGTGTGGTGAGCTGTGCCTCTCGCTTCTTGGGGAACTGTAACATTAAATGTTTCTTTCAGTGGCATTGACTTCTCCATGTTGTCACTCAGTCACCTTTATAAATTAAAATCTAGGCACAAATTAGAGAATGTTCAATTCCTGAATTGGTCTGGGGCTCGGAGATTGGAATTTCAGATTCGGTAGTCATCAGCATTTAAATGATATATTAGTTTGCAGAGTTGCCATAACAAAGTACTACACGCTGGCTGTCTTAAACAACAGACGTTTACTGTCTGACAGTTCTGGAGACTAGAAGTCCAAGGTTCAGAAAGATTGGCTCCTTCTGAGAGCTGTGAGGAAGCATCTGTTCCATGCCTCTTCTCTAGCTTCCGGGGGTTTGCTGGCAACCTTTGGCATTCCTTGGCATGTAGAAGCTTCATTCCAATCTCTGTCTGCGTCTTCACATGCTGTTCTCCCTGTGTGTGTGTGTATGGACACCGGTCATATTGGAGTAGCGTGGGCCAACATGACCTCATTTTCACTAATTATACCTGCAATGACCCTATTTCCCCATAAGGTCACATTCTGAGGTATTGGGGGTTAGGATGACAACATATGACTTTTTGAGGGACTCAGTTCCACCCACAACAGATAGTGACGGAAACTACATGAACAGATGAACACATGAGCAGATGGGGAGTGAGGAGACAGCCCAGAGGACTCGGACACAAAACGAAGAAGAAATGCCAAGAGAAAGAATGGTGTCGCTGCAGCCAGGGGATACCATAATTCCAGCGGGTAGTATGCAGCAGTGTCCACCATAGGAAGGAGGACAGGGTGACCTTGATGAGAGTCTGTTTGTCGTGATAGATGCTGATGGGAAGGAACTGATGGAGAGGGAGAAGTTGAAGATTCTGAAGATTCTGGGAGAGTTGAAGTTACTCCTTTAAAGAACTAAGACCTTGGGCCAGCGGGTGAGGATGTAGTCTGAAGCGTAGGTGGAACCGATCACTGTGACGAAAGTAGGTGACACACCATTTTGACTGCAAAGCTACACTCTGTGCTGACAAACGACTGCCACCATCGCCCTTAAGATGATCCTTTCCTAGGCCCTCCGCACCTATGTCTCATATGGAGCCACTTCTCAGGGATGCACACGGTCACAGCCACACAATGACACCTTCCCTGGAAACCGGCAGTCACGGCTGTCCCTTGAGCATCACAGACAACTCAGGAAGAGTTCCACCAGATACCCGGACACGTGTGCCACGAACGTCCTCTCCTGTCACACACCCAGTCATTCACACACCGGCCATACTCTCTCAGGGCCATCTTGTCAGTCTGGATACAGCGCCCATACCCCTACCGTCACGGGCGCCTCACACGCACAGCCAGCAGTCACGGTCACACTAACAGCTGCTGTCTTGTCCTGCACATCTGGGGGCCAGCAGGTTGTGGCACCGGCGGCACCCGCACCGTTAGACCTGCTTCTCGTAAACACCAGCGTGCCATCCGCCTCTTTGTCTCTGTGTCTCTAGATGTCCGTCTCTGTCTCTCTCACGGAGACGCGCGCGCGCACACACGCACACGCACACACGCGCGCTCACACACGCACACGCGCGCGCGGGGACCGCGGGGAGGAAGCCCGGCGGGGGTGCGGGGGCTGCGGAGGGTGGCGGCCGCGGCCCCTGCGAGCTCTGCCCGGGCCAGGGCGGCGGCCGGCGGGAGGGCGACGTGGAGCGGCCACGTGGAGCGGCCCGGGGGGAGGGCCCGGCGGCGGCGGCGGCGGCGGCGAGTCGAGGCGCGGCCGGCGCACAGCGTCGAGCCGCCGCGAAGCCGGACCCCGGCCCTCATCGCGCCGCCGCAGGTGGGTCCGCGCTCCGCCCCGGGGCGGCCGGGCACCGGGCTGGGCGGGTTGAGGACCGCCGCCGCCGCCGCCACCAAAGCCGGCGGGGACGCACGGGTCGCCGCGGGGCGGGACCGCGGGGCCGCGGCGCCCTCCCGGCGTCTGGGTCCCCAGGCTGCAGGCGCAGTCCCTCTGCGTCCCCCTGCGTCCCCCTGCGGCGCGGACGGGGCTGGAGCGGCGGCTCCCGCCTCGGGGCACCTCCAGGGAGGAGGGTTCCCCCCCACCCCCAGCCCCCGGGTGAGTGGGTAGAGGAAGGGGCTCGAAAGCGAATCTTGAGCTTCCTAGGTGTGATGATGGGGTTCCACAATTCCCGACCCTTTGTCGCTCTGACATCCTGGGAGGGGGCTTGGGGGCTGGCGGGAGTTTGATCCTCATTTGACAGATGAAGAAAAGGGGGGCTGGGGAGGGGCCCCAGGTTATCACCCAGCTGGAAGTGGCAGGGTGGAGACCGGCTCTCAGGTGTGGGACCTTTTTGGCTGTAGAACCACTCTCTCTTCTTTTTTTAGGGGGCGGGGCCGTGTCCTGGGAGGCACAGGGGCACCAGAGGGATAAGTTAAGGGTTAGGATTCGGTTCAAAATAACTTCTGGACAATGAGACTCAGCCAGAAACAGAATGGATGCCCTATGAGGTGCCAGACCCTTGACCTGGAAAGTCAAGCAAGGGCTGAATGGCCATTGACAGGGATGCTGTGGAAAAAGTTTTGCACTGGATGGGAAGCTACCAAAGAACAAAGGCCCCTGCCACATCCTAGATTCTCTGGAAATCCTCAAATGCCAGTCATTTTTTTTTAAGATTTTATTTATTCATTCATGAGAGACAGAGGGAGAGAGAGAGAAGCAGAGGGAGAAGCAGGCTCCCAAGGAGCAGGGAGCCCGATGCGGGACTCGATCCCAGGACCCTGGGATCATGACCTGAGCTGAAGGCAGACACTTAACCATCTGAACCACCCAGGCGCCCTCAAATGCCAGTCATTTAACCTGCATTATCCCATTGCATCTTCCCCAGGCCCTTACAAGACAGATACTGTTATCCCAGGCTCAGAGAGGTTAAGACACCTGTCAGATCACACTGTCAGAACCAAGAGGCAGGATCTGATCAGAGGTCTGACCCCAAGGCTGGGCTCTCCTCACTGCGCTGGTGTCAAGGCTCAAAGAAATTTGAGGCCTGAGAGTCATTGTGAATGTGAGTGTATGAATGTGAGTGTGTGTGAAGGATGTGAATAACTGCTGAATTACATCACAACTGTTAACTAAGAGTTGTGGTGGCTTTCAGGTGGTCATGAGGGTAAATTACATTTGTTCGCTTTATGGTTGTAGGAAATGATTAGGAACACATTTGTTTGACAGGCAGTGGTTCAATAACGGCTTTATTTCTGTTGCTTACAAAAGCTTTTGTTAAGTGCTGAGAAATGTCTTAAGCGTGAACAAATCACATCACACCAACCTCATTACATGTTACTTGAGGTGCCTTAGCTTGACTACTTTTAAACAATAGAGGTGAGCCATACAGTTATTTAAGTTTGTGACATGAACTATAACCAGAATGCTCAGGTTGTCAGGAGAGCCCAGGGTATTCCAGGTAGAGGGTAGAACAGCTTGGGCAAAAGCTAAAGCACTGAAAAGTGAAAGTGAGAAGCACTTCGGGGGTACTCCAGTCACCCTTTTGTTTGAAGCTGAGTGTTAGTGTAATGGAGCACTGGAAGACAAATATAAAATGGTAACCTGATAGCTGATTGTAGAAGACCTTGAATGCCAGGGTGAGGACCGTGGACTGTAATAGAAATAGGGAGCCACTGAAGATTTTGGAGCAGTGGTGTTCTAGCTAAGGAAGCTTAATGTGATGTGGGTATGGAGGGTTCTTTTTTTTTTTTTAAGATTTATTTATTTATTTGAGAGACAGAGAGAGAGCACACGGGGGAAGATCAGAGGAAGAGGGAAGGAGAGAATCTCAGGCAGGCTCCATGCTCAGGACATGGGGCTCAATCTCACCACCCCGAGATCATGACCTGAGCCAAAACTGAGAGTCAAGATGCTTAACTGACTGAGCTACCCAGGTGCCCCTGGAAGGTTCCTTAAGTGGAGAAGCTACCAGAGGCAAGGGCAAGAGAGAGGCTACTACATTAATTTGTGCAAGAAGTAATTCATTATGCACTCACTATTATCTCATTGTGCAGATAAGGTAACTGAAGTTCAGGGACGATAATTAACGTACCCAAGGTCATAGTCTTTTCAGCGTGGCAGCTTCGGGGACGCCAGACTTCTTCCGTGGCAGCTCAGGCCTCCCAGAGGTGCATATCTGCGCGTGCGGAGACAGAGTGAGAGAGAAGCAGAACCAGGTACAAGCTATGGCACCTTTTCTGACCCACACCTTCATTTCAGCTGTTGGTTAGAAGTGAGTGGCTAAGTCCAGATCGTATACAAGGAAAGGCAAATTAGACTTGGTCCTTTGTGGGAAGAAGTGTCAAGGAATTTGTAGACTTGTTTTGCAAACCAGCGCATCTGGCCTAACGAGTGAGTAGATTAGTGGGATCTGAGGGGTGCTTCCTCTTTATGCCTGAATTGCTACCACCAGAGAGTCTTCTTTTAAAAGGCAACTGCTAGTGCATGAGAAGCCCAGATAATAGGTTTTGACAGCTCTGTGGGATTTAAATTAACTCTAGCTCCTCCTGTAGGCCCCGGTCCTGGCAGTAAACAGATGGGGTGGGGCTACAGGAAACAATCTGAGAGTATCCAGGTGGGGAGACCAGGACGGTGGGTATGTGTGGAGCCACTGCAGGGCAGTACAGGAAAACTTCTGGAGGGAAACAGGCGTTATTGTACAACCAGGCACTGTGCAAAATGTGTAGAATCTCGTGTCGTGGAACCTTACCACACCCCGCGAGAGGTGCTCTCGTCTGCCCCACATTGTAGATGGAGAAACTAAAACACAGAAGTCTGACAGTTCCAGAGCCAGGATTTGGATTCAGGCAGCCTGAGGTGAGGGCCCATACCCTTCACCTTGCGGCTGTGCCTCCTCCTCTTCTTCTTTTTTTTTCTTTAAAGATTTTATTTATTTATTTGACAGAGAGAGACACAGCGAGAGAGGGAACGCAAGCAGGGGGAGTGGGTGAGGGAGAAGCAGGCTTCCCGCGGAGCAGGGAGCCCGATGCGGGGCTCGATCCCAGGACCCTGGGATCATGACCTGAGGCGAAGGCAGACGCTTAACGACTGAGCCCCCTAGGCGCCCCATGTGCCAGCTCTCCTTTAGTAATTATGTGTTTCTCTGTCTTTCCCTCAATCATTGTCTAACATTTGTATCTTTTCTTACTTACATATGTGCAAGCTTTAAGAATGAAAAGGGTAGGGCGCCTGGGTGGCTCAGTCGGTTGGGCGACTGCCTTCTGCTCAGGTCAGGATCCTGGAGTCCCGGGATCGAGCCCCGCGTCAGGCTCCCCGCTCAGCGGGGAGTCTGCTTCTCCCTCGGACCCTCCCCCCTCTCCTGCTCTCTCTCTCAAGTAAATAAATAAAATCTTTAAAACAAAAAAAAGAACAAAAAGGATAAATAATTCTACTTTATATTATCATCTCCCTTCTAAGATAGTGCCTCACACATAGTAGGTGCTTAATAAGTATTAAAGAAGTAAGTAAACTTTATCTTCATTCTACAAACTTATATTTCTATTTGCCTTCCCTGCGGATGCTCACCCTCTTGGTCTTTGTCAACAAAGGTCTTTGACGTCTGGTGCGACTCACGCTATCCTCTGTGGCTTCTAGTCCTAGGGTCTCTACTTTCCAGCATTCTCCTTCTGGCTTCTGGCCCGCTGGCCTTCTCAGCCATTACGTGCCTCTTCTTCCACCTTAGAGACTGGAACCCTCAGCTGAAGCCAGCCACCAGCACCCCACCGCCCCCCCCCCAAGAAACCCAGCGGCACTCTGGACATAAAGAACCAGGGCCCCCTGTCCCATTGACCTGTACCCTCCTTCAGCCATTGCTTCCAGAACGCTCAGGCACCGTGTGTGCAGGACCTTCTCCCTGATCCTCCTGGTTCAGGCACAGACATCTGCAGTCTTGCATCTTTCCTCAGTCCCCATGGGCTCTCTCTTGAGATTTCTGTCTTTCGCCCCCTGTTGAGGCAGGCTTCCATGAGCTCCCCGCTCCCGAGAACCCAGGTAGTTTTGAACCCTACTTGCACGCCCCTAGTCCTCTCTCACCTGTTCTGTTGTACTTGACTTATGGTGTCTCTCCTGATGCAGAAGTTTAAACCTTTGATATATTCACATCTATTTTTTCCTTTAAACTTGAGTTTGCAATATTTATCATTTAAAAAACATTATTTGAGAGCGAGAGAGCAGAGGGTTGGGCAGGGGAGAGAGAGAGGGAGAGAAGCAGACTCCCCACCAAGCTCAGAGCCTGATGCAGGGGGGTGGGGTGCCACCCCCCCAATCCCAGACCCTGAGACCATGACCTGAGCTGAAACCAAGAGTCAGGTGCACAACTGACTGAGCCACCCAGGTGCTCTGACATATTTATATCATTTCTAATTGCTCCGTCATAGAATGTGATTTGCTTAGCCACTGCCTAAATGTTAGCTATTCAGGTTGATTATGTTTCTTTCACTAATATGGATAGCACCATTATAAATATCTTTATAATTTCTTTTCCATGTGAGTTCCTCCCTATGTAATCCTCAGGATGGTATCCTTGGGTCAGAGTTTCATGGCAATTACTGTACCTTTGCAGGTTGCTCTCTAGAAACATTTCAGGTTTGTAGTCCCTCAAACAATAGAGGTTAATCCTCACTGATTCAATTTATTTAATGGTTACAGGACTATTACGATTTGCTATTTCTTCCTCTATCAGTTTTGCTATTAAGTTTTTCTAGGAAATTAACTCTGACCTCTGAGTTTTCAAATTTCTGCTGTTTCTGTAGTTATGTCCCCATGTTCACTGCTAATGTTCTTTATTTGT